TCGTAACTCCAGAACCAATGGCCAAGAGAGATACACTAATGGAAAAGTCACCTTCCTGCTAAAGAGCAAAACTGAGCAACTGAAATGTTTCAGAACGAACGAATGCTGTTTTAGGGCCACGTCGCACACACCTAATGCTTTACATTCCTTCAGTATCTTTCATTTCCTCATGTAATCCACTGCTTCTCTGTCACCTCCCCCATTCATTTCCATTTTTATAGTTCGTATTTCTTTAGTTTTTCTTTGAATTTTTCTTCACTGCAGTGGATTGGATAGTTCATATGTGTGGCTCTAGGTATGAATGTCCCGGCGCTGTTGTTAGAGATTGCCGCAGATGGGAAGGTTTAAACAGGAGAATTTTATCCTCTCTCAGTCCTGGAGATCAGAAGTTTGAGATCAAAGTGTCTCAGGACTGTGCTCCAGGGAAGGCTCCTTCCTGCCTCTCCCAGCTCCTGGGGGCTCCAGCATTCCTGGACTTGTGGCCGCGTCACTGCAGTCTCTGCCTCCGCCTCCACGTGGGTTTCTCCTCTGCAGTGTCTTATGAGGACACCTGCCACTGGATTTGGGTCTACCCAATTCCAGGATGATCTCGTCTGAAGCTCCTCGAGTTAATTTCTATCTGCAAAGACCCTATTTCCCAATAAGGTCCTATTCACAGGTCGTTAGGGCAAAATCACGGATGTATCTTTTTGGGGACGTCTCATTCCATCCACTCCACTGAATTTCGTGTAGGTCAGGAAGTGATCTGAAATCAGGAGAATCATTTTTGCTCATTGACATTTCTGATCATCAATGAGGGTGCCATTTGAAAGCTCCATTTTATAAGGTATTTCCATTGCTAGCATACCTGAATTAGAATATCTAAGTCAAAAGAAGCTAAATAGAAAACATGACTTTGAGTCAATATGAGTCTTTGTTCTGGTCAGTATGCGAAAATCTCAGAAGTACGACTTGTGCCTTAGACATGTAGGTATCTAGTGTACAGTCATTGGTTGTTGATATGGTTTGGATTTGTGTCCCCACACAAATCTCATGCTCCAGTGTAATCCCCAGTGTTGGAGGAGGGACCTGGTGAGAGGTGATTAGATCACGGGATGGTTTCTGATGGTTTACCAACACCCCCTGGTGCTGTCTTGTGATAGAGTTAGAAGATCTGCTGGTATAAGAGTGTAGCACTTCCCCCTTTGCTCGCTCTTCCTCATCTGCCACCATGTAAGGTGTGCCTTGCTACCCCTTCGCCTTCCACCGTGATTGTAAGTTTCCTGAGGCCTCCCCGGCCTTGTGGAACAGTGAGTCAATTAAATCTTTTCTTTATAAATTACCCAGTCTCAGGTAGTTCTTTATAGCAGACTGAAAGTGGACTAATACAGTTGACTTCTAGATTTTCTTGGATTTAGCTTGGTCTTTGCAGTTTTAAGTATATATATTTTTTAGTTTATGTCACGTTTTTAAAATTCCTAGATATTACTAAAGATAAGCCTGTTGGCTTCTGCAACAGGACTACGATCTTTTTACTACAGTCAAGAAAGCATAGGATGACAATCTCATTCTTTTATACCACTATTTTCAAGGCTGTATTTGCATGTGTTTCCATCTTTCTTCTGGTCTCCAGGGGTCAAGAAGTGGTTTTCTTTGGGTAAAGAGATTTGGTCAGCTTTGCAGACTACCCGTTTTCGGTTACAAGTATGGACTCTACTCCTGCACCTTAAAAGTAGTCACATAGTGAGACTGCATCCCTACATAAAGTCAAAAAATTAGCCAGGCATGGTGACACACACCTGTGGTCCCAGCTACATGGGAGGCTGGGGTGGGAGGATCGCCTCCTGGGGGAGGTCAAGGCTACAGTGAGCTATGATTGCACCACTACACTCCAGCCTGGGTGACAGAGTCAAAACCTGCCTCAAAAAAGAAAGAAAAATATGATAAAGTAGAACTCAGGCTCTCTCATTGGCCTGTACACATTTACTGAGCACTGTTGTGTGCCACACAATGTTCCGTGAATGAGGAATATAAAGACGTTCACTGCGGGGTGTGGCGGCTCACGTTTGTAGTCCCCGTACTTTGGAAGGCTGAAGTGGGAGGATCCCTTGAGCCCAAGAGTTTGAGACCAGCCTGGGCAACATAGTGAGACCTCATCTCTACCAAAATTTAAAAACGAAAAAGCAGCCTGGCATGGTGGTATGCACCTATAGCCCTGCTGCTCAGGAGGCTGAGGTGGGAGCAAAGCTTGAGCCCTGGAGGTATGCTCAGTGCAGCGAGCCAAGCTCACACTGCCGTACTCCAGCCTGGGTGGCAGAGCAAGACCCTGTCTCAAACAAAAATAGTTCACTGACATTCACGTGCAGTTTATTGAGGGTGCCGTTTATACTGCCGTGTAAGCAGGCTCAATACCGAGCTCTCCAAGGTGGAGTCTATTAGGTATTGCTTGTACTGTAGACAGAAGGAAGCCTTGAGAAAAGTGTCCTGTTTTTGGACATGGTGGCGTATTCACCACATAAATTTGAACAATTATTTTATGTTTAATTTAATTTATTTATTTGCTCCATCTCACTCTGTTGCCCAGGCTGGAGTGCAGTGGCATGATCTCAGCTCACTGCAACTTCTGCCTTGCAGGTTCAAGCTGTTCTCCTGCCTCAGCCTCCTGAGTAGCTGAGATTACAGTCACTTGCAACCATGCCCAGCTAATTTTTGTATTAGTAGAGATCGGTTTGACCATGTTGGCCAGGCTGGTCTGGAACTCCTGATCTCAAGTGACCTGCCTGCCTTGGCCTCTCAAAGTACTGGGATTGCAGGCATGGACCACAGCACCCAGCCTACTTTATATTTTATTTTATTTTGAGACAAGGTCTTACTCTGTCACCCAGGCTGGAGTGCAGTGACATGATCACAGCTCACTGCAGCCTTGACCTCCTGTGCTCAAGCCATCCTCCCACCTCAGCCTCCCAAGTAGCTGGGACCACACATGTGTGTCGCCACACCCAGGTAGTTGTTTTTTTTTAAAGACTGGGTTTTGCCATATTTTCCAGGCTTAGTTTTTAAATTGACACATAATAATTTTACATATTCATGGGGTACACAGTGATGCTTTGATACAAAGAATGGAGTAATCAGATCAGGGTAATGAGCATATCCATCATCTCAGTCATTTACCGTTTCTTTGTGTTAGGAACATTCAGTATCTTTCTATCTGTTTGAAACCATACGAGATATTATTGCTAATTGCAGTCACCCTACAGGGCTGCAGAGCACTGGGACATACTCCTCCGATTGGTTGTAATTGTGTATCCTTTAACAAACCTATCTCCATCTCTCAGTTCTTCCGTTCCAGCCTCTGGTATCCTCTGTTCTTCTTTATCCTTTCAGGAGATCGGCATTTTTTTAGCTTCCACATATGAGTAAGCACAAGTGGTGTTTAATGTTCTGTTCCTGGCTTATTTCACCTAACATAACGTCCTTCGGTTTCATCCATGTTGCTGCCAATCAGAGGATTTTATTCTTTTTCATGGCTGAGTAGTATTCTACTATGTAAATACCTCCTTTGCCTTACCTATCTGTTCATCTGTTGATAGGCACTAGGTTGATTCCGTATCTTGGCTGTTGTGAATAGTGCTTTGGTAAACATGGGTGTGCTCGCGTGCTCATGTCTTTTCGATATCATGGCTTCCTTTGCTTTGAATAAATACCTCGTGATGTGATGGCTAGCTCATATGGGAGTTCTATTTCTAGTTTTTGAGGAACCTGCATATTGCTCTCCATGGTGACTCTACTGGTTTACATTCCCACCAACATTGCATAAGAGTTCCCTCTTCGGCCGGGCACAACAGCTCACGCTGGTAATCCTAGCAGTTTGGGAGACCAAGCTGGGTGGATTGATTGAGTCCAGGACTTCGAGACCAGCCTGGGCAACATGGTGAAACCCCACTTCTACAAAAAACACGAAAATTAGCTGGCATGGTGGTGGGCACCTGTGGTTCCAGCTACTTAGAAGACTGAGGCAGGTCCATTGCTTGAGCCTGGCAGGCAGAGGTTGCAGTGAGCTGAGCAAGACCCTGTCTCCAAAAAAAAAAAAAGAGTTCCCTTTTCTCCACATCCTCACCAGCATTTGTTATTTTTGTGTGTATGTGTCTTTTTTTTCTTTGAAATGGAGTTTCACTCTTGTCACCCAGGCTGGAGTGCAATGACGCAATCTCGGCACACTAGAACTGCTACCTCCCAAGTTCAAGTGATTTTTCTGCCTCAGCCTCCAGAGTTGCTGGGATTACAGGCATGCGCTACCATACCGGGCTAATTTTTGTATTTTTAGTAGAGATTGGGTTTCACCATGTTGGCGAGACTGATCTCGAACTCCTGACCTCAGGTGATCTGCCCGCCTCGGCATCCCGAAGCGCTGGGATTACAGTGTCTTTTTGATAGTAGCCATCTTAACTGGGATGAGATGACTGCTGCCTCACTGAGGTTTTGATTTGCATTTCCCTGATGATTAGCGAGTTGAGCATTTTTTTCATATACATGTTGGCCTTTTCCATGTCTTTGGAAAAATGTCTGTGAAGATACCTGTCCATTTTTTAATTGGACTGCTTGTCTTTTCGCGGTTGAGACGTTTGAGTTCCATGCTTGGTCATGGTGGTGGATTCACCCCGATAAACATGAGAGAGCCTTTCTCTCCAGTGTTAGCACACAGGTAAGGAATGGGCTGGTGGCCTCTCTGAACAAGATGCCCGAAGGAGTTGCCTTCTGCTCAGCAGCCGCCTCTCAAATGGTCTTTCTGTCCTCTCCAAGGGAGCCGGCCCTGCACTGGGGCGCAGCACACGATGCCTTGCCTTGTAGAACATCTGACTGTCACGTGCTTTCAGATCAGGACGACTTCAGTGTGCGGGGGAGGAGTGCATGTGGAATAGATTATCTCCTGCCTGAGTTAAGCAGAAATAGCTATCGTTGCAAAGCAGGGATTTTTTCCATGCTTCCTCCCTACTAAAAATACGTGTTTGTTTTTCTAACAGGTTTCCTCCATTTTTTGATGACAACCCATTTGGCATTTATCAGAAAATTCTTGCAGGCAAAATAGATTTCCCCAGACATTTGGATTTCAGTGTAAAGTAAGTAAACCGTTTGCCTTGTCATGGGGTGTGTTTATTTTTAAAGTGTCTAAAATCACCATGAAAACACGCACTCAGCAGGATACCATATTGCATTATTAAATGTGCTGTGCATAGACTATTTTGAACTGTTGTCTTTTCCACAAAAAAAGAATAAGATTTTAAGTATTCCTCTTTAGTGATAACTTCCTGTTTCATGGCTCTGGGCCGTATTTCATTCTTTTGGTAATATGTTATATTTAAAATGTGCCAGTGAACAAATTTGTCATCGAATTTTGTAAGAGAGCAGTTTTGGAATTTGACAAGCACCCTCCCAGTTCTGTGGCTAGCAGAACTGTTGATGGATTTAGCAGAGTCCTATCCTTTCTCTCCTGCTTTAATTATGCTCAGCCTAAGTCCTTTTTAATGTCAACATTTTCAGTTCTGAGCATGTTGCTTCAAGAACATTTACAGTTGCTGGATATTGGCAACTTTGGATGCACATTTTATTATGGTTGTGGCAGTAGAGAAAGAAGACATTATTTTATGTTTCAGAAAATAGTGTCTTTTTCTGACATTTTGTACAGCATATAAGGTAACATCTTCTGTCTTAAATACAAGAATGCGGCCGGGTACAGTGGCTCACGCCTGTAATCCCAGCACTTTGGGAGGCCGAGGAGGGTAGATCATGGGGTCAGGAGATCAAGACCATCCTGGCTAACATGGTGAAACCCTGTCTCTACTAAAAATACAAACAATTACCTGGGCGTGGTGGCGCGTGCCTGTAATTCCAGCTCCTCAGGAGGCTGAGAAGGGAATCGCTTGGGCCCGGGAGGTGGACGTTGCGGTGAACCGAGATGGCGCCACTACAGTCCAGCCTGGGCGGCACAGTGAGACTTCATCTCAAAGAAAAAGAATGGTTTTGGTTTTCTGTCCACCTTCCTCAGTCTGGTCACCTGGCAGCCATTTTTACTGTAATAAGCACTGATTTCTGTTTGTTTCACGGTATTTTTCAGATGAGTTAATGGGCGCACCAGCCTCCCAGGCACAAACTAGAGCTAAATGCATCTAGTTGAGAATTAAACTTTTCTTTCCCATGGGCTGTTTGTTTAGGAGCTGGTGGAAGTTCAGTTCGGAGAAGACTTATTTCCGGGCGCTGGACCAGGCTGTTTTGAATATGCTCTTATGGGGCCCTGGCTACCTTCAGCCAAGTTTCTTGGTGGCGAATGTTCCGCATCCTAAGCAGAGCTTCTTAGTCCGAATAGAAGATAGGGTTGTGTTTTCATTGGCTTGAGCTTATGTTGTACTTGACAGGCTAGAGGCAAGGTTTAAAAGGCTTTAGCGAGAAAACGAGGCACCTCAGAAGCCAGCTGCTCTGGAAGGAAACAGAAAGGTTATATAGACCTTGTCTCCCAGGCCCCAAATCCCATCTGAGTTGAGTGACATTATATCAAGTGGATGGCAAAGCACTTTCGTGATCGAGTTTGGCCAGGTGAGAGGCTCATGCCTGTGATCCCAGCTCAAGCCTGTAATGCCAGGGCTGAGGTGGGAGGATTGCTTGGGGCCAGTGGTTTAAGGCCAGCCTGGACAATGTAGCAAGACCCCATGTCTACAAAAAATTAAAAATTAGCTGGGCATGGTAGCATGGCCTGTGGTCCCAGCTACTAGGGAGGTTGAGGTGGGAGGACTCCTTGAGCCCAGGAAGTCGAGGCTGCAGTGAGCTATGATTGTGTCACTGCACTCCAGACTGGGTGAAAGAGTGAGACCCTATCTCAAAAAAAATTAAAAAATAAATATACACACACATATGAGTATATATATATATATATATACTGGCTATACATACATTTATATGTATATAAATATATATACATATGTGTGTATATGTACATATGCATGTGTGTATATATATGTGTGTGTACATATATAGATATATAGAGAGGTTTCCAATGTTCTGTGGAAACAAAAAAACCGTGAATTACCGAAATAGAAGAAACCAGAAGCGTGATCAGTCTGGTCTCTTGCCACTTTTCTTTCTCTCCTAGCGTACCTTTGCTGAGAGTAGGGACCAAGCAGTGGCCATCTTGGTACTGTCTGATGTAACATGCCTCTCTTTACGCAGCTCCCAGCCCCTTCCAGTGTTCCCACAATGCCCCTGTGTCTTCACACACCCAGTGCGGGTACACCAAGAGCAGGAGCAGTGATAATTGAGTAAAACTTCACTTCTTCCCATTATTTGTTGAATGTTATCAAATTGGCTGGGAAGCAAGATCTCAGTGACTCCTTATCTTCCCTATTTTTGGTAGAGATTGGTATGGGGGTCTTTCTGCATTGCCCAGGCTGGTCTTGAACTCCTGAGTTCAAGTGATCATCCTGCCTTGTCCTCCCCAAGTGTTGGGATTACAGGCGTGAGCCACTGCACCTGGCCTTAAAGACGCATTTTCTTATCCAAATCACTGTCCTGGTTGTCCATGATGCTAGAATTTTGATTCTTAGCTTTTTAAAGTCATAGGTTGGTTTCTGCAACTTTTGACTGGCTAAGCATGTCGCCTGGGCAAATGGCATGTCAAAATTGCGATTTCTTATAGAAATAAATATCATTTGAAAGAAAAGAAAAACACCAAAACAAAGCTTTGGGACTGGTGGCCAATTCAGTAGAGGTATTATCTGTTGGTGTTTTTTTCATGCCTGAAAGTATCTGCATCCGAGAGCAGCCAGCCGGTGCCAGGATCATAAGTACAACTTAGAATTTTGACTGTAGTATATCAAGAGAGTTCTAGCAGATGTGTCACCTATCCTGGCAGGGTCAATGGACCCATCTACAGCTGTGGACACTTCTGTTGTTCCTTTATAGGGCTTTGCACCTTTGGGGGGGCCCTTCTCATCCACACTTGTTACTTTCTAAACTGCTTTACAAGAGTTTGCTTTGCTATTTTACTTTTTTTTTTTTTTTTAAAGAGACGGGTGTCTTGCTCTGTCACCCAGGCTGGAGTGCAGTGGCATAATCAGAGATCACTTCAGCTTCCATGTCCTGGGCTCACATGTTGTCCCCAACTCAGCCTCCCGAGTAGCAGGTGCTACAGGCATGCACCACCATGCCTGGCTAATGCTTTGATTTTTTGTAGAGATGGGATCTTACTATGTTGCCCCCGCTGTTCTTGAACTCTTGGTTTCAAGTGATCTTCCCTCTTCAGCCCCCTACGTAGCTGGGATTACAAGCCATTTTGCCCTATATTTTAAATAAATCTTGATTTTCTTAGATGCCAAACACCAAAAAACTTCTTTAAAAAATTCAAGGTCATCAAACACTTTGCTTTCTTACATGCCAAACACCCCTCTTCTTCCCCCACCAAAAAAATAAATAAAAGTGAAGTTGAACTGGTGCAGTGGCTTGCGCCTGTAGTCCCAGCTGCTCAGGAGGCCGAGGCAAGATAATTGCTTGAACCTGGGAGGCGGAGTTTGCGATGAGCCGAGATCATGCCATTGCACTCCAGCCTGGGCAACAAGAGCGAAACTCCATCTCCAAAAATAAATAAATAAATAAAATTGAAGTTTATCAATGTGATCCCCAAAACATTCTGAAGTAAACGTGGGTTTTCCTTCCCATAATTTACAACACTGCCTGCCCCATTAGCGTACACACTTAAAACTGGGATTATAAGAAAACAGAGGTTTATTTAAAATATGAAAGCATAAATAAACCTTTCTTATAGTCCACGCCAGTGAGCTTTAAGTGTGTGCGCTAAGGGGGTGGGTAGTCGTGTAAATTATATGGGGAAAACCCCCACATTTATTTGGGAATGTTTTGGGGGTACAGTGTTTGATGACCTTATTTTTTTTGGCAGAGGAGAGCATGTCAAAATAATGAAGGAGAAACTCACTAAGTAGTGGATAGGTTTCTGCCTTCTCAGTTATTGTCTTATTCCCCACCCTGCTCAAAGCTTTTTGGCCTTACAGGATGGATACAAAAGCCCAGCCTTAGGTGGGCGGACAGATGGTCTCTTGAGTTTGACTTTGAGGCAGAGAAGCAGTGAAGTTTGACAAGCATCCCATCATAATTCAGGAAGCATGGCATTAGGAGACTCTGGTTATGGGTGCTGCTTGCCAGAATTTCAGATCAGACAGGGCTGGCAGGATTCACAGTCCTGACTTGAAGTCTGACCCGGAGCGTCACCTGGCTTGTGGGAGACTCTGCAGTCCATTACAGAACCTAGGAGTGGCCCAGTCCAAGTTTGTACTACTTACCCTGGGACATACTTTATGCCAGGAAAGCCTAGCCACTTAAACGGGGGTCATGGGAATTGGATTGTTTCGGGAGACTTCAATATATTATATTATTACATCATATTATGTATATTACTATACATAAGATACCCTGTTTATTACATGTGTACACAAAGACACACATCATTTCTACTTCCATAAATATACATCTTAGAACTTGCCTAATCTCCTGGAAGTCTTTGGTATCATCTCCAACTACCCATCCTAATTGAACCAGTTTTCTGTGTTATTATTGTTATTATTATTTTTGAGACGGAGTCTACCTCTGTTGCTCAGGCTGGAGTACAGTGGCTCAATCTCAGCTCGCTGCAGCCTTTGCTTCCTGAGTTCAAGTGGTTCTTGTGCCTTGGCCTCCCAAGTAGCTGGGACTACAGGCATGTGCCAGCATGCCCAGCTAATTTTTTTTTTTTTTTGTAGAGATGGGGTTTTACCATGTTGACCAGGCTGGTCTCAAACTCCTGACATCAAGTGATCCACTCACCTCAGCCTCTCAAAGTGCTGGAAATACAGATGTGAGCCAGTGTGCCTGGCCTCCTGCTTGCTGTACTTCTGAGATGGTCTGTTGTTTAAAAGGAAGATTATGAGTAAAGAAGCAGACTGAAGAGACTCATCCTTACTTGTGTGCTTATGGGAAAGCCAGCCTTTTCAAACAGGAACCCCATAAACAAGCAGGCCCCCAGGGCAACGAGTGGCTGTGGAAGCAGATGTCTTCGATTTTGCAGGGACAGCCTGAGAGGCATATTTACCTTAAGTGTCTGGATCTTCTCTGCGGGCACATAGAAATTTCACCCTTTCCTACTCAAAGGTGTATATTTTTTTACAAAGGTGTAATCAACCCGCTTCCCTTAGCTTCAGCAGTGTGTGGGCAACCCAGCCTTGCATAAGTTATTTAAGAGCTGTCGACGGTAGGAAATAAGCACTAGAAAGTGTTGGTCCTCATCGTGGGTACATTTTTATCTCTGTGGCCCTTGTTTGCTGATGTTGATTTGTAATCTATGCACTTTTTTTTTCTTGTCTCCTTCCCCTAAATAGAGACCTCATTAAGAAACTGCTCGTGGTTGACAGAACAAGGCGGTTAGGAAACATGAAGGTGAGTGTTTGATCCCATGAGTATTAAGCGGCATCCGATGTGCGTGTCTGTCGTCTTAACACCAACATTGACATGTGCAGATAGAAACCAAGGCTTAGTGGTCGCATGTAATCACTGCCCAAGTTTCAAATCTGGTGTTTTATTTATTTATTTATTTTACTTGAAACTGCCAGGAAAGTTCTATGAAATCTGCGGTCCTGGGCACACAGCATCACACTGGGTCTACACCTTGCCTCCCCTGCCCTCCAAGCAGCTAATAGAACAATGGCAATTCTATATAATATAAACTATATAAAGAGATTTATATACAGAGATATATACAGATTTATTTATATAATATAAAGTGTGTATCTGTACATGTCACGTTTTTATATACAGAGATATATACAGAGTTATTTACATAATATAAAGTGTGTATCTGTACACGTCACATTTTTATATAGAGACATATACAGATTTGTTTATATAATATAAAGTATGTATCTACACATGTTACATTTTTATATACAGAGATATATACAGAGTTATTTATATAATATAAAGTGTGTATCTGTACACACGTCACATTTTTATATACAGAGACATATACAGATTTATTTATATAATATAAAGTGTGTATCTGTACACACGTCACATTTTTATATACAGAGACATATACAGATTTGTTTATATAATATAAAGTGTGTATCTACACACGTCACATTTTTATATACAGAGACATATACAGATTGGTTTATATAATATAAAGTATGTATCTACACACGTCACATTTTTATATACAGAGATATATACAGATTTGTTTATATAATATAAAGTATGTATCTACACACGTTACATTTTTATATACAGAGACATATACAGATTTGTTTATATAATATAAAGTATGTATCTACACACGTTACATTTTTATATACAGAGATATATACAGATTTATTTATATAATATAAAGTGTGTATCTGTACACGTCACGTTTTTATATACAGAGATATATACAGATTTGTTTAATATAAAGTGTGTATCTACACACGTCACGTTTTCATATAGAGATATATACAGATTTGTTTATATAATATAAAGTATGTATGTACACACGTTACATTTTTATATACAGATACATATACAGATTTGTTTATATAATATAAAGTGTGTATCTGTACACACGTCACATTTTTATATACAGAGATATATAGTTATTTATATAATATAAAGTGTCTATCTGTACACACATCACATTTTTATATATAGAGATATATACAGTTATTTATATAATATAAAGCGTGTATCTACACACATCACATTTTTATATATAGTGATATATACAGAGTTATTTATATAATATAAAGTGTATCTGTACACACGTCACATTTTTATATACAGGGATATATACAGTTATTTATATAATATAAAGTGTCTATCTGTACACACGTCACATTTTTATGTGCAGAGATATATACAGTTATTTATATAATATAAAGTGTCTATCTGTACACACGTCACGTTTTTATACACAGAGATATATACAGAGTTATTTATATAATATAAAGTGTCTATCTGTACACACGTCACATTTTTATACACTTTACAAACCATCATACAAAAAGGTCAAAGGAATTTAGATATTATATAAATAGATAATTGGACATGTATATAGATAGATTTACCTATAAATCTATATAATATAGTTATATATGTATGCCTACATATAGATATATAATACAGATATGTAGATATAACATAAAGTGTGATGCCAGGCGCGGTGGCCAATGCCTGTAATCCCAACACTTTGGGAGGCCGAGGCAGGCAGATCACCTGAGGTCAGGAGTTCAAGACCAGCCTGGCCAACATGGTGAAACTCTGTCTCTACTAAAAATACAAAAATGAGCCGGGTATGGTGGCAAGATGTCACTAGGGGATAGGAGTTTTTCAGTTCATTATAATCTTATGGGAGCACCACTGTATGTGTCATTCATTGTTGACTGAAATGTCATTTTGAGGCTCATGACTGTAGACACACAGCAACACACACACTTTTTTTTTTTAAAAAACAGTCTTGCTCTGTCACCAGGCCGGAGTTCAGTGGTATGATCACAGCTCATTGTAGCCTTGACCTCCTAGACTCAAGTGATCCTCCCACCTCAGCCTCCCAAGTAGCTGGGACTACATGCATGCACCACCATGCCTGGCTAGTTTTTTATATTTTTTTGTAGAGAACCAGGTCTCAATTTGTTGCACAGGTTAGTCTCGAACTACTGGGCTCAAGCCATCCTCCTGCCTCGGCCTCCCAGAGTGCTGGAATATAAATGTGAGCCACTGCTCCCAACACCCCCCACACTTTATATAACAGACAGGCAGACATCCACACACACACACTCAGTAGTTTGGATACCAGTGTGAATCTTGGTATATACAGATACTTTATACTCTACATGTAAAGTATTTATAAAGTGTATATGTGTGTGTGTATATATAAATATATGTATGTATCTATGAACATGTGTATGTAAATGTGTGTATATATAAAAATATGTTTGTGTGTATATATTATATATGCATGCAAGTACATACAGACACACACATCCTTTAGTACCCAAATTCGAATTTTATCTGATGGATAAAATTTATTTTACTCTCTTATTTTATTCATAGCACTTTTATTTACTCTTATTCACAGCATTGCTAAAGGTAAAACTCAATAGCTGTTTGTTGCCTGACTTAGCTATAGTTAAAAAATGCCTGTTTTGTAATAAGAAAAGAAAAAGTTGTCAAAACAACTGGATGGGAAAACTAGGAAAAATTCACATCACTGTTTGCTTTTGAAGATACAGTGATGGGCATATTCCTCTTTAAGGATAAGAAATTTAAAACGACAAAAATGCTAACTGATGGATGTGTTAAATTCATACATACCGGCTTCTATTTCATGTTTATTTCTTCTGCTGTCCCACATTGAATTGATAACAACATCACTACAAGTTAAAAACAAGGAAGCAGAGTGAGGTTTCAGGCTGAGCGAGGTTTAAGGGAGGGGTTTCAGAGGTCGTGATGGCTGCAGTGTGAGCCAGCTGATGTCTGGTGCTGCCCTTGAGCATGAAGTAGGCCGACTTAAATGCACATTGTTAATTGCAAGGCCGTGCAGTGTGGGTTCTAAGATCTCTTAAACTGGGCATCCTTGGTTTGAGTTCTCAGTCTTGTTTACTTGCTGGATCATACTGAGCAAATGAACATCATTCAGTGAACCCTGATTTCTATGTCTGTAAAAATACTAAGTTTGCCGAGACGAAAACAGGAGACAGACTGAGAAACGAACCGGTGTCCGATTTTATGTCGAGAGATGAAATCGTGTTTATCTTTCTAGTCTTTGGTCTGGAGCGCAAACGCCTTGCACAGGAGCAGAATGACTGGACCTGCTTCTGCAATAAAAAAGGGAGAACGAAACACCAAGGGCTTTGCTGGCAGGTTTTCCTAGCAGCTCACGCTCTGGGCACAGTTATGCAAAATGCAGCAAACTTGTTCTGTTCGTTTAGATACTAAAATAATGCAGAGATTCTTTGGGGGTGTTTTTCTTTCCTGCCCTGTCAAAATTCCTCACACTTACCAGACGTGTTGTTTCTTTTGAAGAACGGGGCGAATGACGTGAAGCGCCATCGGTGGTTCCGGGCTGTGGACTGGGAAGCTGTACCACAGAGAAAACTGAAGGTAAGCAGGATCAGTGGGTCACTTGGTACGCCACAGCTCTCCCATTAGTAGGGACAGCCTCTGAATCCTGGGCCTTCTTTATTGATGGCTGATGTGTAATTAATTTATATAATACAAACGTTTGTCTAAAACTGTTCATAAGCAGAGTTCCCTACTCTATGAGTGTCTTAGTGCTAACCGTCTCCCTGACTGTTTGTCTTTCTGTGTCAGGCAACATTTTCTTCCTGAGTTTTCTTTTTCTTTTTTTTTTAATTGCATTTTAGGTTTTGGGGTACATGTGAAGAACATGCAAGACAGTTGCATAGGTACACATGTGGCAGTGTGATTTGCTGCCTTCCTCCCCTTCACCTATATCTGGCATTTCTCCCCATGCTATCTCTCCCCAACTCCCCACCCCCTGCTGTCCCTCCTCTATTTCCCCTCAACAGACCCCAGTGTGTGATGCTCCCCTCCCTGGGTCCATGTGTTCTCATTGTTCAACACCCACCTATGAGTGAGAAGATGCGGTGTTTGATTTTCTGTTTTGTGTCAGTTTGCTGAGAATGATGGTCTCCAGGTTCATCCAGGTCCTCCTTTGGCTTCCTCCTTTCCTATTTGAATACCCTTTATTTCTTTTTCTTGCCTGATTGCTCTGGCTAGAACTTCCAGCACTATATTGAATAGGAGTGGTGAGAGAGGGCATCCTTGTCTAGTGCCACATTTCAAAGGGAATGCTTCCAGTTTTTCCCCATTCAGTATGATATTGGCTGTTGGTTTGTCGTAAATAGCTTTTATTATTTTGAGATACGTTCCGTCAATACCTAGTTTATTGCGGGTTTTTAGCATAAAGAGCTGTTGAATTTTGTCAAAGGCCTTCTTTGCATCTATTGAGATAATCATGTGGTTTTTGTCTTTGTTTCTGTTTATGTGGGGAATTACGTTTATAGACTTGCGTATGTTGAACCAGCCTTGCATCCCCGAGATGAATCCTACTTGATCATGGTGGATAAGCTTTTTGATGTGCTGTTGTATTCGGCTTGCCAGTGTTTTATTGAAGATTTTTGCATCTATGTTCATCATGGATATTGGCCTGAAGTTTTGTTTTCTTGCTGAGTCTCTGCCGGGTTTTGGTATCAGGATGCTGTTGGTCTCATAATATGATTTGGGAAGGATTCCCTCTTTTTGTATTATTTGGAATAGTTTCAGAAGGAATGGTAACAGTTCCTCTTTGTGTGTCTGGTAGAATTCGGCTGTGAACCCATCTGGACCTGGGCTTTTTTTGGGTGTAGGCTCTTAATTGCTGCCTCAACTTCAGACCTTGTTATTGGTCTATTCATAGTTTCAACTTCTTCCTGGTTTAGGCTTGGGAGGACACAAGTGTCCAGGAATTTATCCATTTCTTCCAGGTTTACTAGTTTATGTGCGTAGAGTTGTTTATAATAATCTCTGATGATGGTTTGAATTTCTGTGGAATCTGTGGTGATTTCCCCTTTGTCGTTTTTTATTGCATCTATTTGGTTATTCTCTCTTTTTTTTTTTAATTAATCTGGCTAGTGGTCTGTCTATTTTGTTGATCTTTTCGAAAAACCAGCTCCTGGATTTATTGATGTTTTGAAGGGTTTTTCGTGTCTCTATCTCCTTCAGTTCTGCTCTGATCTTAGTTATTTCTTGTCTTCTGCTAGGTTTAGAGTTTTTTTGATCTTGCTCCTCTAGCTCTTTCAATTTTGACGACAGGGTGTCAATTTTAGATCTCTCCTTGCTTCTCATGTGGGCACTTATGGCTATATATTTTCCTCTAGAGACTGCTTTAAATGTGTCCCAGAGATTCTGGCATGTTGTGTCTTCGTTCTCGTTGGTATTGAAGAACTTTATTTATTTCTGCCTTCATTTCATTGTTTATCCAGTCAACATTCAAGAGCCAAGTGGTTCAGTTTCCTTGAAGCTGTGCAGTTCTGAGTTAGTTTCTGAATTCAGAGTTCTAACTTGATTGCACTGTGGTCTGAGAGACTGTTTGTTATGATTTCCGTTCTTTTGCATTTGCTGAGGAGTGCTTTACTTCCAATTATGTGGTTAATCTTAGAGTAGGTGTGATGTGGTGCTGAGAAGAACGTATATTCTTGTGGATTTGGGATGGAGAGTTCTGTAACTGTCTATTAGGTTTGCTTGTTCCAGGTCTGACTTCAAGTCGTGGATATCCTTGTTAATTTTCTGTCTGGTTGATCTGTCTAATATTGACAGTGGAGTGTTAAAGTCTCCCACTATTATTGTGTGGGAGTCTACATCTCTTTGTAAGTCATTAAGAACTTGCCTTATATATCTGGGTGCTCCTGTATTGGGTGCGTATATATTTAGGATCATTAGCTCTTCTTGTTGTATCTTTTACCATTATGTAATGGCCTTCTTTGTCTCTTTTGATCTTTGTTGCTTTAAAGTCTATTTTATCAGAGATGAGAATTGCAACTCCTGCTTTTTTTTGCTCTCCATTTGCTTGGTAAATCTTCCTCCATCCCTTTATTTTGAACTTTTCTGTATCCTACTGCGCTCAGGCGATTCTCCCACCTTAGCTTGCTGAGCAGCTGGAACTGCAGGCACACTGCACCACACACAGCCAAGTTTTTCTATTTTTTGAAGAGACAGGGGACTCCTTATGTTCCCCAGGCTGGTCTCAAACTTGTGAGGCTCAAGCGATCCTCCTGCCATGGTTTCTTAACGTGTTAGGATTACAGGTGTAAGCCCCCACACCCGGCCTCCTTCACAGTATTTTAATTCCAAGATTGCCGTGTTCATAAACGAAGGGAAGACAGCTTTAGTGTTTTCCAAATCATGTTCATTGTTAGGTACAGTGACAGAAGTGAAGGGGCGTGTGCAGCGTCCAAGCATCCACTGTTCCTTTCTAACCATGCCTTTGCGTTTCGGCCGTGTCTCACAGCCTCCCATTGTGCCTAAGATCTCTGGTGATGGCGATACCTCCAACTTCGAAACTTATCCCGAGAATGAATGGGACACAGCCACTCCCGTGCCGCAGAAGGATTTAGAAATCTTCAAGAATTTCTGAGGACAGGAGCTCACATCTGGAAGGTATACCTTTCTATTTAGTAATTACTGGAAAATGAGACTGACTCGACCCCACATCCAGGTGAGGCTGTGTTTACTGAGTGGGACTTACCCGCATGCACTCAGAGATCAGCAGTGAAGCAGAGCAAAGGGGAGTGATTCCCAGAGCCAGTGACATAAACACCGCCACGCCTGTGACACCAGAGACATCAGCATCACCGAACCCATCTCCTGGGTCAGAATGCGCACATCTACATAGGACCCCTAGGTGATTTATGTGTGCCTGAGCATTTGAGAAGCACAGCTCTTCCGGTCCCTGATCGGAAACCCTGAGTGACAGGCGAACTTCCTTAAAATAATTAACAAGTATTTTCAAAAGTCTTTCTAGGTCCTTTTTGGTTAAAAAATAATAATAATAAACGTACCATCATAGGAAATTTGCTAAGCTTAATTCAAGATGACTGGTAAAGGATGTCGAGTCTCTTATTTCTTTGAGCCTTTGAAGATCTATTATTAGTTTTTAAATAATAATAATATTTTTCAGAATCCCTCATGAAATTTGCTAAGCTTTAATTTAAGATGACTGAAAAAGGGTTTTGACTCTGTTATTTCCTTGAGCCTTTGAAAGTCTATTATTAGTTTTGAAATACGGATTAGAAAGAGCTTTCAGTTCCTCCTCAATTCTAAATTGCTTGGTTATGTGGCTTTGATTAGCTCTTTCTTCCTATAACATACAAGCAAGAAAAGTACCCAGAGAAGCAAAATATTGTCAGTGATTTGTCTATTTGTTGACGTAGCTTGTTTTTCCCATTTTGGTTTCCATTCCCATAATTTTCCTGTAGTCTTCCCAGTTATGTGACGTGGAAAGCCAGTTGGCTAACCAACACCGTTTGAAATAGACACCAAATGTCACAATTGCTGATTTGGGAGCGAGGAACCAGCCTGCTGAAAGACAGGGTGAATGGGACACCTCCATCCTGTGAGGGCGTTTCCATGGATGTACCAAGAGGATAAGATTGAAATAATAGAGAACAAAATGCTGGAGGAATCGGTGCTGTGAGCGTGAGAACATAACGTGTCTCCATGGCATCACTTCACCGCAGTGTGTGCTGAACATTTTTACAGCAGTGACTGGTTTGAATTAACATGAGAGCGTGTAACTTTACCAACTTCGTAAATGCTCGTGAAATCCAGTTGCGGGCTGTGGAAATCAGATGATGTTCCCGAACGTGTTGACTTCTTTTTGTCTCTCTGGTCTGCCCTGGGGCTTTCATTCAGTCCGACTTGCCCATAACGTTTACAAATAATGTCTGTCCCTGAAATCTTTAAGATGATGTAAAGACTTGATTTGCTTTAGTATGCGGGACCCCTGGTGGATAAGCTACAAGAACAGAGCTTCTCTAGTAGAGCCCCTCAAGTGTAAAATTTACTTAAAGAACCAAAAAGCTTCCATTTGATGGATTTTTGTCTTCTGAGTAGTGAATAGTTTCATTACGTCTTGTCCCCAGCTAGCCCTACTGTCCCTGAAAGAGATTCCACACATAGGAATAACCTTTCTCAGTCTGGTGTGTGTTCTTGAGAAAGTATGTGTAAGTATTATATTTGCTAAGTGGAATCATTTTTAATATAGTTTGGCTAGTGGTTGTGACTTTGTTTAATGATTTTTTTTTTCTTTTTGAGACAGTCTCACTCTGTTGCCCGGTGGTGTGGTCTCGGCTCACTGCAACCTCTGCCTCCTGTGTTCAAGTGATTCTCGTGTCTCAGCCTCTCGAGTAGCTGGGATTACAGGTGCCCCGCTACCACACAAGGCTAATTTTTAAATTGTTAGTAGAGACAGCATTTTGCCATGTTGGCCAGGCTGGTCTTGAACTCCTGAGCTCAGGCAATCCGCCCACCTCGGCTTCCCACAGTGCTGGGATGACAGGCGTGTGTCACTGTGCCCAGCCCAGATGCAGTATTTCAATCCGTCTCAGTAATTTTATTGAAAGTAATTTGCATACCAAACAATCCCTGGCATTTTCCGCGAAGAGGGATTAGGTTCAGGAATTTCATGCAGGAAGATACTTCTTCATGAAGCCAAATCTTCTCCGGTAAAGTAGACACCAGTTGGGATGAATCACCGCACTTGAGGACGGCTTAAAAACTACGCATTAGCTGCTCATCTTCGTTTGCATCACTGCACATGCCTTTCTGAATGTGGAGGAGGAATTTAGGAGAACTGGCTCACTATGGCTTTTATTTTACTTTGTAAGAAAATATTTTCCGTCTTGCTGTAAGATTCTCTGAGGAAGCATGTGGAATTGGGGGTTCATTTTTCTTGTGCAGTTCATCATCTACTGGTGAATACATACATCTATTTATGAACAAGCATATGATAGAACATTTAAAAACCTACCTTAGGCTGGGTATGGTGACTCCTACCTATAGTCCCGGCACTTTGGGAGGCTGAGGTGGGAGGCTCACTTGAGGTCAGGAGTTTGAGATCAAGCCTGGGCAACACAGTGAGACCCCATCTCTACAAAAAATAAAAAAGTAGCCAGGCTTGGTGATACATATCTGTTGTCCCAGCTCCTCGAGAGGCTGAAGTGGGAGGCTTGCTTGGGCCTGGGAAGTTGAGGCTGCAGTGAGTTGTTAGACCTTATCTCAAAAACGAAAACATGGCTGGGTACGGTAGCTCTCACACCTGTAATCCCAGTACTTTAGGAGGCCGAGGTGGGTAGATCATCTGAGGTCGGGAGTTAGAGACCAGCCTGGCCAATATGGTAAAATCCTGTCTCTACTAAAAATACCAAAAATTAGCCAGGCGTGGTGGTGGGTGCATGTAATCCCAGCTACTCAGGAGGCTGAGGCAGAAGAATCACTTGAACCCAGGATATGCAGAGGTTGCAATGAGCTGAGTTTGCGCCACTGCACTCCAGCCTGGACAACAAGAGCAAAACTCCATCTCAAAATAAACCAAAAAAAAAACCCTTATCTTTAAAACATTCTTCAGTTCCTTTTTATTAGCCAGCCTTTTCTCTTAGAATTCGGGCTTGTGGATCCTTGCAAAAGGAATCACAAAGGGGAGTGTTCCGTATTATCAGGAAAAGGAAACCTTTGTGTTATCGTTGAGATGATGATTACAAAGTTCGTCCAGTTACTGAGAAACTCACAAAATCGTTCATCCTATTTCATGCTAGAAACAGGAAGATTGGAATGTGCCTGGAACAAAGAACTGCACCTAAGCAGACCAGAAGAAATGTCTTCTTCATGTGACAAGGACATCTCCAGTTTCCCGTGTGCCCATATGTATAGAAACATCAGAGCGCAGCTGAAATGAATGGAACGGGTGTTATTTAAGCAACTGGAATTCCACACTGTAGAAAGGGTTTGAAAACTGGCTGTAGATTTGATCTTATCCTTTACTGTTGTGCTCCTACTGTGATGTCTTTGTTTTTCTCATAGACTGAAGTTTGTAAGTTTGAACCGTACTTGTTCAGTTCTAATCACATTTTGTGTGTGTTTATGTGCGTGTGTGTGCCTGTGTGTATATATAGAAGTAATTATGGCAGATGCACAGCAATTGTGCAGTTGATATAAATGTTCATACTTCACAGAGTCTATAATTATTATTTTTCAATTTGTTTTTTCAAAAATCTCTTGGGGACAACATCTGAAGGGTATGTTGCATGCATTTAAAAAAAAAATCATCTCATACGCATTTTATAGTTTGGGGGAAGAAAATATCCTGGGGAGATCTGCCTTCAGTATCTTCAGTGCTTCCTACCTGGTAACTTGAGACTTTCAAAGAAGAAACCTAGAGAAGATATGGGAGCGAATTTATTCTGAGAATCTACAGGGACACTGAAGTTGTTGGAGGAATGTACTGTATTCGAAAAACCTTCTGAGTCACATTCAAAAATTTCATGTGAGCTGGGTGCAGTGGCTTGTTCCTGTAGTCCCAGCACTTTGGGAGGCTGAGGTGGGTGGATTGCTTAAGCCTGGGCAACATAGCGAAACCCTGTCTCTACAAAATTTACAACAAATCAGTTGGGTGTAGTGGTGCATGCCTGTAGTCCCAGCTATTCAGGAGGCTGTGGTGGGAGGCTGGCTTGAGCTCAGGGGGTTGAGGCTGCAGCGAGCCGCCATTGCGCCACTGCACTCCAGCCTGGACAACAGAGCAAGACCTTGTCTTTAAAAAAATTCATCCTTCACAGGGAGGTGGCTCCCTGTTAATTCCGGTTGAAACTTTTTGAACAAAATGCACTTCCCACAGTTCACAAATAATTTTCAGATCAGCCCACCTAGAAGGCCGACCTTCATGCAGAGATTTTATTTCACTTTTAGTTTTGGGAAAAGCGAAAAGCAGATGATCTGTAGGATGTGAGTGGGCGGCAGAGTTGAAAGGAACTTCACCTGTTTCTGCCCGAGCATGGCCCTGCTGAAATCTGCTGCGCGTGAGGTCACAGGGCCCAGCTGCGGCAGGGGTCAGTACATTGAAGAAGTAGGTTCTGGAGCCTTCCAGCAATGCCTCGGTGACAACAGGGATATACCCACACAGACCTCCAAGACCTTCTTCTCCACATGTTCTCTTATGTCTGCCTTCATCTGGCTCCTTCCACACCCAGAACGGGAACCGAGTGTGACCTCGGCATGTGTAGGTAAAAATGGATGCAGAGAGAAGACGCTTGGGTGCCCCGTGGTTCCTGATCTCTTCTCAAAACTCAAAAGCTCCGGATCTCTGGAGCTGCTGGGTGTGTTCCTTGCTGTTGGAGCTGTTTTTCCAAGCAGGGTCTGGGAAGAGATTTCTCCCTGGAGGACTTGCTACCTCTCTTTGGCACACACATCTAGTACTGTGGAAAGCTGCTTTTGGGAAAAGCCATACATTTTTTAAAAAGTAGCAAAATGGTAAGGGAAATATAATCAGATTTGACCAGAGTTCGCCTATAAATAAGAAGGCACTGGGTCGGGTGTGGTGGCTCATGCCTGTAATCCTAACACTTTGGGAGGCTGAGGCGAGAGGATTGCTTGAGCCCAGGAGTTTGAGACCAGTCTGGGAAACATGGTGAGACCTCATCTCTACAAAATACAAAATAATTAGCTGGGCATGATGGTGCGTGCCTGTAGTCTCAGCTACTCAGAAGGCTGAGGTGTGAGGTCACTTGAGCCCAGGGAGGTCCAGGCCAAAGCACTCTAGCCTGGGTAACAGAATAAGACCCTGTCTTCAAACAGACGAAAAGCGGCAATGGCATTGCGCTCTTGAAGGCGGAATGAAGCGAACGTTCACCTTAAGGCTTTAAAAGGCGGCGAAGCTGCTGTGGTGGCTCACTCCTGTAAGCCCAGGACTTCAGGAAGCTGAGGCAGGAACATAGCTTGAGCCTAGGTGAGACCAACCTGGGCAGCAGTGAGACCCCCATCTCTATAAAAAGAAAAAAATTGTTAAAACACAGTGAAATTGCAGAAACAGATCACAGCCCCCCTTTTCCATCAATGAGCTTTTTTTCCCGTGGAGGTCAACTCAGTAGGTGAGAGTAATTCATAGGTTCAGTAGAATAAACTCTTTACAATTAATAACTCAGTGGAAAATGATGTTGAGATGGTGAAATGTAGAAATGCTGTATGCAGCTGTATTTTCAGCCTGTGCTTCTCAGTAACCATCCTGTTTGGATTAAAATTTGAGGACCATCATTGTCTAAAAACTTAGCATGCAGTTTCCAATCAGTTTTATCATGAACGTGAGAAGGTTACACTGGTGCCGACTCCAGCAGCAGGTACACTAGGGCTGGAACGACACAGAGATGAGCATGGCCCCCTGCGCCGTGAACATATGCAGGTTCACGCAGCACTCCATATTTTAAAAAAGTGACACTGTGACACCGTGCACTGAGATGTGGACCTAGAAGGAAAAGCGTTAAGTCTCATGTCCACTGACTATAAAAATAAATAATAGTAATAATGTTGAACATTCTACTTTAAAAATTATTAATAAAACAATAAATGAAACACTTTTCTTGAGCACACTTTAAAAAGTATATAGACCCGTGAGTCCATATGCCTATTTAAGGTTGTCTGTTGTATTACCCAGGACTTCAGGCTGACGTGAAAGTTAGCATGAGGCAAGCCTGCAGTCCCTTGCCTTAATTGTGAACAGACACGCAGGAAAATGAAACATACAAGCACATGGATGACCTTGTTCTTTACATCATCGTAACTGTCCTCCAGCTATACAGAACAAATGAGAAATTAGAAGCGATTCCAAGAACGTGAGATGGTGTGAAACCTGCTTTCCACCGTCATGGGCATTTCAACATTTGAAGTGACACAGGCCACCTGGTAATTGCCCATGGTGATGTCAAAATTTAATGGCCCAGTGTCATGTAGAGGTTAATTTAATCAAAATTAAACATGGAACAATCACTATGTATAATTTAAAAATAGTTTACCTGGCTGGGCGTGGTGGCTCATGCCTGTACTCCCAGCACTTTGGGAGGCTGAGGCAGGCAGATCACCTGAGGCCAGGAGTTCAACACTAGCCTGGCCAACATGGTGAAACCTCATCTCTACTAAAAATACAAAAGTTAGCCAGGCATGTGGTGTGTGCCTGTAGTCCCAGCTACTTGGGACGCTGAGACGAGAATTGCTTGAACCCAGAGGCAGAGGCTGTAGTGAGCCGAGATCGCGCCGCTGCACTCCAGCCTGGGTACCAGAGTGAGACTCCATCTTAAAAAGTAAACATAAAAATAAATAGTTTGCCTGGGCGGGCATTCCAAAATTTTTGCATAGATGATCACATGAAACAATCACTGTGCAAGATGTGGAGGAAAACTCATAATAATCACAAAATTTGTATCAGAAAAAATTACAGATTTACTTTGCTTCATGCGATTTTATGAGTTGACAGTATTCTCTTAAAAGGAAATGCATATGTCACAACGAGAAGTATATTGGGGAAGTCTTGTTTTTCTGAAGGGAAATACCAGCAGCCTGCTTTCATAGGCACCGATAAAGCCAGGAGGGAGAAAAGTCAGAACCAAATAGCACACACCCGATCTACTGAATTCTGATTCCTTCGCGACACAAGTCTAAATCCTGCTTAGCCTAAACATAGCTATAGCCAGCGATGGGCAAATTCTGTTTGCTGTCAGCATGACAGAATAAGAAGCAGAAAGCCCCAGCAGTGGGGTAGGCGTGCACGCTTCATCCCCTCAAAATGCTGTGTAACCCCCTCCCTCTCCATGCCCATGAAACAACTGCACAATCACTTGTTAGTGAATTTCTTGTTCAGCATTTTGTTTCTTTTTGTCCATACTTAAAGTCATTTGTTTGCTTTGAAGAGTAAGCAAAAAAAGAAAAAAAAAAATCATTTGAAATCACTACCCATTCAAAAACCTCTACAGTGGAACGTAACAGTTGAGCTGTTTGGGATGTGTTCGCCATTTCTGTGTTTGCCCTGCCTCACGTCTAGTTCTTGTGACCGTTGTAACTGTGAAACTATGGCTTGATACTGTTAAAGACCCCAAGGCTCAACTCTGTAGCCAGGGTGCACTGCAGGCTGCACGAATATCACAGCGGAATGTCAGGATCGTTCCTCACTCCAGCTACGGAGTGAACAGAGTGCGAGACAGCACAGGCCTGGGTTGTATTTTTGCCGCCAGTTAATTTTGCATCTGGTCTACACAGCCCCTGCAGCCTCTGATATCTCCAGTTGTAGAGATTTGAAATGGGGTGCCTGATTCCTCTCATTTTTCCTTCAGTCTACCTAGCATACGTTTGCCACATATTGGAGGAGTCGTATGCAACTGTTTTTCCCTGTTGCTGATGGAGGCCGGGAGGCCTTCTCATTAGTCTACCTTAAATGGATGGGATTCACTGAGCAAGAAGAAAGCACACAGACAGGTGTCTTAATGCGTTTGGATAGTTTCTGTGTGTGTGTGTGTGTGTGTGTCTTGGTGAAGGTGGGAGCTGCATTTTCACCAAGCCTTTTCATCAAGTTTGCTTTGCAAACCTTCTGGCCTTGTACCCAGCAGAACAGTCCTTCCTGATAAAAGGGGGATGCTCTGTAACAGTTCTCTGTAAATTACCATGTGTGGGGAAGTTCTGTTGAGGCTTAGTTTGATCTCCCATGGTGGACACATCTGTTCTGTATATAAAAGGTATTACATGTGCGTTTTAGGCGGATGGGATTGGAAGCCTTCCCACAGTCCTCGTCCTCTGAGATGGCTGTTGAGCTCTGCTCAGCTGTCGTAGCTGAATGCTTTTTTGTGCTGAACACTGGGCAGCCTCGCGTGTTGCTGACATGCTTCTGGGACCCCGTGACTGCCGTCAGAGGCTGCGCACACAGGCGGAGTGCCTTTGCGGGTTTGCGCACCCCTTGGCGAGCCGGAACTGGGAACCCTGCGGGGTGATCCCGCCTTCTCTTGGGGGGTTGGGGAGGGGAGTGCCTATTTTTAATCCTGTCCATTTGTTGCACAATGGAAATCACTGTGATTTGTACATATGCCCTAGGAAAATTTTACTGCTGTCTAATTTATGTAATAATACTGTTGATTCCAGGTTTGTTTAATAAAACTTTGTATCTTTTAAGAAGTCTTGAGTCTGGTCTGCTTCTGTCTCCAAACAAGCTGTGGCTTTTCTCCTTTGGTCTAGTCCAGGGATGGGCAGCTGTCTGGAGGGGCCACATGGCAGATCTTTTCTGCATTGCAGGACACACAGTCTCTGTCGCACAGAGTGCAAAAAACCTGCCATAGGTAGGCATAGAGGTGCACGCCTGTCATTCAAATGCTTTGGGAGGCCAAGGCAGGAGGACCGCTGGAGCCCAGGAGTTTGAGACCAGCCTGGGTCACGTAGCAAGACCCCCATCTCTACAAAAATTTAAAAATTTGTTGGGAGTGGTAGCATGAGCCTGCGACTACTCAGGAGGCTGAGGCGGGAGGGCCACTTGTGCCCAGGAGTTTGAGCCTGCTTTGACCTACGCTTGTACCACTACCCTCCAGCCTGGGTGACAGGACAAGAACCTGACTCTTAAAAAAATCAAGAAGCAAAAGGCCCCATAGACACTAGGTAAACAAATGGGCATGGCTGTGTTCCAATAAAGTTTTATTGACAAAAATAATCAGAGGGCCAGATTTAGCCTGAGGGCCAGCATTTGCTGATTCCTCTTGTAGCCTGTGATGCCCTCATCATCATGAATGAATAAAATATTTTATTGCTTATACTTACTACTCATATATTTGACACCTAGGTTTCTGAGTCACTTTCTCAGCTTGCTAAAAACATCCTGCCTTCATACATTGTAAAATCAATTGATTTGTAAGTTTTGACACTCACATAGCACTTGCTGTTAGCAGAGGTTGAAATATTACACCCAGCTAAGGGTCACACACAAAGCCTGTTTACTTATGACCAAGCCACCCTCGTACCTGTCTTGAAATTCCCGGGGAAGGGAGGGAGTCTTCCCATGGGGTGGTGTGGCTCTTCAGGGTCTGGTTCCAAATCCGGCCAAGGGCCACTCAGGAGTTTTTGTAGCATAGGTTCTTGGTGAGTGACAGTCTGATTTGGGAAGGATATGTTCATGTGTTTACTGGAAGGCTAGGGGAGGGGTCTTGAAGCCCCCTCGGCAGGACAAACATGCTTTGTGCTTTGGGGTAAGGTTGCTAGAGATTATCCAGGGTTGTGTCAATTATATGTCATAGATACGTGTTGATACTTAGCCACATCCCGTTGGAGCCCTCTGACTTTCCTGGAAGTCAGGCTCATCTTGCGTACTTGTTGAAAGGATCAGATAAACCTCCAAGGGTGTGAAGGAAAACCGTAGTTAGGTGGACCCCCTGTCATCTTAACAAGAGCTGTCTCGGGTATCACTTGCAGAGACAGAAAGGAATTGCTGGAGTTTTTGTTTTGTTTTGTGACAGGGTCTCCCTCTGTTGGCCAGGCTGGAGTGCCCTGATGGAATCACAGCTCACTGCAGCCTTGAACCCCTTTGCTCAAGCGATCCTCCCACCTCAGCCTCCTGAGTAGCCGGGACTACAGGTGTGCACCACCACACCCAATTAATTTTTTATTTTTATATTGTAGAGACAAGGTCTCCCTGTGTTGCCAGGCTGGTCTCAAACTCCTGGCCTCAAGCGATCCTCCCACCTTGCCCCTGCAGAGCACTGGAACTGCATACGTGAGGAATTGCAGTTTGGGGAGCACCCCTTTTATGTGGGCAGCGAGATATTACCTGTGTGTGCAACAGAGTTCGCATTCAGCCCTTAAAGTAGCGTGACACACAGGACGCCTGCCACCCTAACCACTGCTGAAAGACCAGGCTGTTGGCCCAGGAACTCAGTGGAAAGCAAAGTCACAGAGCTGAGGTTTCCATGCCATCTGCTCCTGCTCACACCAAGGTGTCAAACACTTCAGTAATCAATATGTGTTATATAAGCATAACGTATAATAAATAGATGAATATAATATGTAAATATACGTTAATGATATATATTACATATTAATATAAAATTAATGTGATATAACATTGAATTAATGATTTATATTATATATTTGTGATGTGTTTATGCAATGTAGCATATTAAATTTAATATATACATTAATATATTAACTTATACAATATATTCATATATTAATGTATATTAAAGTACTATATATAAAGATATTCATGTAATATATTCACATACAGCACTTTAATATATCTAAATATATTATACATAACAATAGCATGTATGTATATATGTGTATATATGTATATATGTACATAATGTATTTCTATATAATGCAATTTATATATATGTACATGTTTAGTATGTATATATATATTTATTTTATATATTGTATATAATAAACATATTTAGATGTTTATTAGAGAAACAAAGAACAGCATTCTGTATTTTCCGATGAAAATATTGGATGACAGTTGAAACCAGCAAATGCTGAAGACCTACAGTGAGTATATTGATGAGAGAACTGGAAATTTAATGTTTTGTTATAAGGCAGAAAACCATGATGTACTAAAGCTAGTCCATCAGCCCTTCTGTGGATCAAACTTTTACAAACAGTTTTACTTTACGTTTTTATTGACAAATAATACTGGTACATATTTTTGGGCTCCGTACCAATGATTGAGTCAACGTAATGTGCAGTGATCAGATAACGGTAATTGGCGGATTCATCAGTCATCCCAGTCCGGTATCATTTCTTTGTTTGGGGAACATTCAGTATCTTCCCAGCTATTTAGAACTGTATAACGTATATATTGTTAAATGTAGTCATCCTACGGGGCTATAGAACACCAGGAGGCAATCCTCCTGTCTCGCTGGAATTTCATATCCTTTAAGAAGTCTCTCTCTATCCCCTCTTCCCTCCACCCTTCCCAGCCTCTAGTATCCTCTCTTCTACTTTTTACTTCTTTAAGAGCTACTTTCAGCTTCCATGTGAGTGGAGAACCTGTGGTATCCGCCTTTCCATTTCTGCTTATTTCAGGTAACGTAATGTCCTCCAGTTTCATCCAAGTTCATGAGAATGAAAGGATTTAATTCTTTATTAATGGCTGAATAGTATTTCATAGTGTATATATACTGCCATATTTTCTTTAAACATTCATCTGTTGTAAATTTATTTTATTATTTTTGTTGAGACAGGGTCTCATTGTGTCATCAAGGCTGGAGTGCAATGGCACAATCACAGCTCACTGCAGTCTTGATCTCCTGGCCTCAAGCCATCCTCCCAACTCAGCCTCCAAAGTAGCTGGGAGTATAGTCACACTCCCACCATGCCCAACTAATTTTTAAATATTTTTGTAGAGACAGGGTCTTGCTATGTTGCCCAGGTTGGTCTCAAACTCAGACTCAAGTGATCCTTCCACCTCAGCATCCTGAAGTATTGGGATTACAGGCTCTCACGAGCCACCATGTTGGGCCTTGCAAATTTATTTTACTAGGCAAGTTGCCTTTGAGAAGTCCATTAAAGAGACCATTTTCTACACGTGTAAAGCTACAATTCAGTGTTTAAAATTCTGATAAAAACCACAATGTGAGATCTACCCTCTTACCAGATTTTTACGTGCACTGTTCACCATGAGCTCTGTCTTCTCCAGCAGGTCTCCAGACATTTTTATTTTCCATGACTGAAACTTTATACCTGTTAAACAGCAAGTCCCCATTGTCCCCTCTCCTCAGTCCTTGGGAACCATCATCAACCACCCCATACTCCAAAAATCAGAGAAGACACAAGCCCGCAGCCTGGGTCTGAACTTGGATCTGAAATATTTGTAGATCTCAACGACATCACAGAGAATACATTCATGCTTTCATATCTAGTTATAAATGTCTGGCTTTGAGCCGGCTACAAATTCAGCTTTTAAAATCCCCTCGGGGGCAATGTCTTGGAAACCCCCTGGCTGAAAAACAATTTATAATGAAACAGGATTTGTACGGAGGCTGTTTAAAATGACTGCCTTGGAAAATGAAAGAAAAAATCTATAAAAGGCAAAGTTTAGAAAATGATGTCATTGTAGTAAGTGGGGAATGAAGAAAGGCAATTTGGTCTACAGAGTTCAGAGTTCTTCCAGTTATTTTACGTTGGCCTTGTTTTTAATTGAACTGATGAAGAATGAGCAGAGTGCCTGAACGTGTACAGTGGGAAAAAGCTGGCACTGGAGAAGGTGCAGCGTTCATTATTGGTAAAAGTCAGCCTAAGTAGTCGGCACAGGGTATGGTAGAAGTACCCATTTCATTGTGCACAGATGTTTCCAGGCCTTTTCTTTTGTCTTGGGTTTTTTCTTTTTCCCACCCAACCCCACTGTACCTTTTTTCTAAGAAAAGTATCTGGTAACAATCCAAAACAGGAAACTTCTGCTTCTTTCAAGAATACGATCTTTAAAATAATGGTGCTTAACAAGAGATTCTTTAAGCTAATATTTTTCATACCTTTACTGTGGCCACAGTGAAAAATATATTGTGCATATTTTATAGAACCACCCGGACTCACATACATGCAAACACACACACATGCCCCTAAAACTGAAGCTGACTTTACAATATTATGAATAGTGTAGAAACAGGGTTACCAGATATGAATTTATTAGTCGTGGTTACATAGAACACTTATTTCAAATTATTCTTAGTATGAGTAGAGACCTGCAACATGGAATCCATGACCCTGTCTTGGGTCTTGCTTAGTGTTTGGAAAACACTTTTCTATTAAAAAAGAAAGTGGCTGCTCTGCACTCTGTATCGCTTTGCTTTTCCACATTAAAACGGGACTCAATGGTGAGTTCACAAGGGAGCAAAGCCAGCTGGGCTCGGGAGGAAACCTGCGGCTGGCATTCTCATGACATCTGTGAATTTCAAACTCGAAACCATTTTAGTTCCATTGTTCGATATGGCACACAGCAGCTTTCTGGCTAAGATGGCATTTTGCAGTACATTGATTAGAATAAGAGTATTCTAGCATTACGTCAGTATGATTTTTTTTCTGCAGCCTGTTTGTAGATTCTGTAAATTTGTACATTGACAACTGGTTAGTCCAGCTTCTTGGTTTGTTGTTGTTTTTGACAACTGCTGGGCCCAAACGGCTGTTGATATTACAGG